TGCTGCCCGTCGCGTCCACCGCAGCCTGCGCATGTTTGTCGCGTGTCGATTCCCAGCGTACACCACGTATGCTCGATTGGTGAGTACACTAGCAGGTATATAATATCGCACTCAACATTGGGGCTCGCTTGTGATGGCTTTGACCGTCGGCACAAGTGCGCCACGTTTCATTCGTTCAAACCCGCTTCGAATTTTGCTTCTATATTTGTTAGAGCCAATCAAATCCAAGCGTTTGACGCCGGTCGATAGCCATCTCGCAACGGCATGACCGTGAAGCTTTCCGCGACAAGCACCGTGGTGGTTGTAAATGGAGCCAATGATAGAAAAGATCGTTGGCGCACCGAAACAAGGCCACGCGGGTTGGACGTCTCTCCATCTGCAGCTCATTTTGGGTTTTGCGAGCATCATGCCCTTTCAGCGCTGGGCGACCAACGGAGCTGGCAGCACACGCGCAAATGGCGCCGCTGTCAACAAGCACCAACTCCTTCAAGACGGCGCCAAAGGCCAAGAAGAAGAAAACGAAGAAGTCGCCAAGTGACGAGGTCATGACGGGCGAGCCGATCGAAGCCTTTCGCTCGCTTCGCATCAGCATGCAGCGCAATATTGCGACGGTGCGCTCCAACCTTCAGCACTTGTACCGCCACACGAACCACTTGGACTTGGTGCTTGTCGTGGACTGCACTGGATCAATGGCAGGCACGGCGCCGGAAGCGTGCTATGCCCCACGCGCATGGAGAACCAGTAGTTAAGCGTGAACTTGAACCGGTCGGTACTGCCTTCGACGTGAGCCGGCGGCGTATCCGGGGGAGCGAATACCTCCCAAATAGTAACGGTGGTGAACAAAGGTAAGATCAAATTGGCAATATATCAATTGTGGAATGTAATGGTACAAGCTTGCTTGACTGTAAGATAGACATATCAAACAGGGACGAAAGTCGGTCATCGTGAACCGATAATTTTTTGTGGAAAGATTATCGCTCAACGGATAAAAGGTACTCCGGAGATAACAAGCTGATGACTCCTAAGAGCTACTCGATCTGCGCCGTCGACAATGCACTGCAGTTGTCGGCTCTGCGGGACGACGTATGTCCGCGCCGG